AGGTCACCAATGTTTGTCACAATATCATTGGATCATTCCATAATTTTTTCAGAATTTAAAAATGTTTAAAAGTATTTTTAAATATTTTAAACAAATCAAATAAGTGTAAAATTCATAAAAAATACCAAAACACAAAATTAAATTGTGAAAAAATAAAAATTAGAAAGAGAATAATCAAAAATATTTTTCATAATGTTTTCAGATTTTTTGGACTAAAAATGAATTTTCTATGATTTTTTTAAATTTAAAACAATTAAAATATAAAAATCAGAAAAAGAAAATAAAAGAAAAAGATGTGGACCATTGGATGAGAGTCAAAACACGTTAGTAATCAAATCCAAAGGATCTGGCGCGCTGTGCATATCATGGTCTTTAATGAATAATGTACAGAATCATTAATAAAATCAGAATTTGAAAATAACAAATGTCACGCTTTCATTGGTTAGAAGATGACATGTTGGTCATCTTCAACCTTCAGCCTTCACGAATTGCAGGTCTCTCAAACTGTAAAATCAGAAGCTTAGACCTATGCCATTCGCTTCGCCTCTTTAAGACGAAGACAACCATACCCTCGCGCCCAATTTATATAAACTGTAACTCAAGCAATTTGGAAAGAAAGTTTTGAAAAGGGATTTGAAAGTTCATGGTCAAAACGTGCTTCCAGATAAAAGTAAGTGTTGCGACTAGAACCAGGGCAATGAGAGCAACACAATGATACCAAAGTTTTGAAGAATTGATGAAGGAATCTACCTATTGAAGTTGAGTTGCAGAGCTCTGAAACTGGATTTCTATGGAGCAAAATATAGGGCACGATTATTGAATGTGATTATATGGTTAGCTTCAGGGAAGATCAAGGAAGGTGAATTGATAAATAAAATGGATTGAAAAAGGCTTGAGAATAGGATTCGAAGTAGCTGAATTCTGAGTTATGAAGCAAGTTTGGCAGGGTGATTTTGGCTATCTAAGCTTGGAAAATTGAATGGAGGATGACCCTCTATTTATAGGGAATCAAATGGAATGTTCAAGCGTGTGGAATGATGCAAATTGGAGGGAAATCGTGTGAACCTGATGAACGAGCAAGGTATGATCTGATTTGCATCAAAACTCATCTAATCTTTGCGTTTCAAGGCTCTAATCCACTTTGGCAACTTGGTTGAACATGTTTAGATCACAAACACGTGTTAATTTGATGTTTAAAGGCCAAAACATGAATTTCAAATTCTGACTTATGGAGAAACTTCAGTTCCAAGTTACCAAGTTCAATCCAATGGCATTTCCACCTCAAGGAGTCTTAGGGAAAAATTCTTGATGCTTTGGAAAGATGAGGTAACAAGCTTTACAATGGAAAAAGAATGGAATCAAATGGATGCTTGAGCTGAAAGTTACACGGAGTCAAAGTTGAAGAAAAAGAGTTGACTTTCCATACTTAGAAATATTTCAAATTCTTCTTTAAAAATGACCTATAATCTTTTGCATCCAAACATGGCCTTTCACTTAGAATTTACTCTTGACCAAAAAAGATGGAATGAATTAGATCTCTTGAATGACATTTTTCAATTTGAACCACTCAAAATCTCCAAAAATTGAGAAAGTTATGACTTGTTGAAGTTGGCTAAAAATCATGAAATGACCTATAATCTTTTGCATTCTTAAGGCAACTTCCATCCATTTTTTCACTTTGCACATACAATAAGGCATGAAGTACACATCCTTAGGGTCATCATGAAAAAAGAATGAGCTCAAGGTGATAAAAATTGACCAAGTTATGACCATTTGAAGTCACATATGAAAAATTGGGGATTCATCTGGATGACTTGTAATCTTCCCTCTTCACCAAGTTCCTTCCACATGAAAACTCCTTGGAACCTTTGAAGTGATTTGCTGGTAACTCTTTGAAGAGAAGAATGTTTTTGAAATCACTCAAAAATACCAAAAGATGAGCAAGATATGCCCCTTTGAAGTCTAAAATCCTAGCCTCTAGATCAAGAGAATGCTTGGTGGAATTTTGCCAAGTTTGAACAAACTTTTTGTGCCAATATTCTTCCTTTGTGAATAGAAATTGTTGAGGAGGATGACGAGGACTCATGACCACCAAAACCACTTCCATACCAACTTCAAAACAACTTCAATGGTGAGGTTTGAATTTTTCAAGCTATTGACTAGGGCATGGAAATAAACTCATGAACCCATAAAGCAACTTGATAAACCTCATTGCCTTTACCTACATTATTAACAAGTAAGACAAACCAATATTGCATTTTGTTAATTAGAGAGAAAATAAAAGCAAAATATCCATGATCAAAAGAAAACAAGTTAAGGTGCTTGGTAATTCCTCAAAAGAGCAAAGCTAAAGATATGGAGAAGAACCAAAAGCCCTAATGTGATTTTGTTGCGATTGAAACAATATGGTATGATGAAGGGATCTTAGGGGTAAAAATTGAGGTACAACATCTGGTTGTCTGTTCGACGTGTAACAAGCAGACCCGAAGACGGATGATGATGTGGCCAAATGTGTGGTCAGGAAATCGTTATCTGTGATATTCTTAGGGTGTGGGCGACCAAGTGTGCTCGATTGAAGACCATGATTAATGGGCTAAAGTTGTTGGGCCGTATCGAAGGTTTAAGCAGATTGGGCCAATTCTAGTCATTGGGTCAGTTCAGGATAAGAATAATCTTGTTTCTATAGGGTATCCCTAGTCCTAGGTGATATCTACTACAAAATATTCTGACAAAAAGCATTAACAATAATGGTTTAGCCTAATTGTTAATCGTAAGTCAAACTCAGTTTGTCCAAAATAGAAAGCATTATGATCACCATGAGAATAAATCAATTATGATAAAACAAGATTGTCATTGCAATTATAAATTCAAAGTCATTACAATACTAAATCAAGGACACCCCCAAGTATTGAGGGGGTTTACTTACTCATAGAAATAAAAAATAACATGGTAAAAGCCACAAACATTACAGATAACTTGATGAATTAGTCTTAAATCACATAAACCTCTTGAAGATCTTGATCCACCTTGAAAATCCGAGTTTCCCAACCTTCTAAACGTGTCTTTTCCATCAAAAATTATCCAACCCGATAAAATTCGCATTGTGGGGTTAAATAGAGCAATTTTGGGCCTTTTTTGCGATTTTGGGCGCCCATACGCGTATGGGCAGCAACACGTTTTTTCCAAATCTCATACGTGTATGAAATGCTTGATACGCATATGAACATAGTTGACTTAGCATTTGATGTCTCCATGAAAGTTATAACCCTTGATGTTAGATTTCATTTGCCACCGGTCTCACGTCATTCTGAGTTATGACGTTCTAGTTATGATCAAAATACCGCACGTCTGTCATGATGAAAAACATGCTGAAAATTTCCAAATCCCACATCTTTCTTTCTAAAAATTTGCCGCGTTCCTTTTTTGGCCATATAATTGACTCCGGGAATACTTAAAACATCGACAATATGAAATTAAAGAAACTGACACATAAATCACTCAAACTATATGAAAAATGTAAATAACTTGCCTACTTTCAATTGTTAAAATGATAATAACTATAGCAGAAATGATGACTGATCAACAATAAATGGAAAAATCTGGCTTAAATCACAGTGTTTTTGTTAACTTATTATTCAGGTAATCAAACTTTAAAATAGAAAATGAATTTCCAATTCCATTCAACCTTACTTTTGGTGAATTTTAATTGAATTAACCATGATAGTCTTGCCAAAATAAAACCACGAGCTACTAAATCAAATAACTTCAATAAATATCCTAGTCACAATAAATAAGCAGAAGTTACTTAAGCCCAAATTAAATCAGGGGAAAAATTAGCTTCTCGTTGTTTAAGAAAAATGCCAATATGGTATGCACCACTAACTATATGAACTTCAACTTGCAACCCTTGTATTTTGAATTGAAAGACAATCTAATGATGGTGATGATGTATTGACATGAAATTATAAATGGGTAAACTTTTTAAATTTAAAACAAATCTTGTACCATATGCATCAATGATGGGAATTATAATGGAAGAAACCCTAACCATGAATGCATGAGATACATAAAGTCTCTAAAATGTTGACTTTTCCTAACTTTTTGTTGACTTTTCAACCAAGTACCTTCTTATGCAAACAACCATATGCCTTAAAGTCTAAAATGATGAATGATTTATGGAAAAAGGAGATGAATGATACCTAAAGGTGCAAAAGATCAGATAAACAATCAACCCCTTTTGACCTCTAAGCACATAGCTTGATTGTTGACTGATGAATGTATATCGGCCTTCAAGTTCAAATGAAATGGTCATGATATGCTGGTGAATAAATGAGAATATTATGGTGAAATTTAAGGTATAACAATCACAATATCTAGAATTATGACATACAAAATATTAAATGTTGGTACTGGTACATACAATAATGAAAATATAACATAAGTAAGTGATAAACATGTAGTCCACAACAACTGTATACACCATATAACATGTTTGAAAATAGAAGCACAATGAACAACTAAATAGGGGAAACAAGATACAAGGAAAAATATGTGAGTTCTTCAAGTCATCTCGCTCTTCCCATTGCCTAAAACCAGCTTATTTGAAAAATAATTGACAAAATGACGTGAGCTACTAATATTTCAGCGGAGTCTTACGTTAATGAGAAAGGCATACCGCTGCCATTCTTTTACATATAATTCAAATAGTCTCCTTTGAGACTAATCTCCTCCTAAGAATTTGAAAAAGGAGATGATGATTCTCCTTCCCCAATTTTGTTTGTTAAGGATTTATTGGAAAAATAAAATAAAAAATCTCTAAATCATATGAAAATAAAATAATATAATAAAATATTTAGTTTGAGACCTGTAGGATGGACCTGCTTATTGAGAAAGTAATGTGAAATTATTGTTGGGCCTATAACACCATTTTACATGAAGAAAAAAAAGATATATTAAAGAGAGCCTGGGAGAGGGAGTAACATAAAATAAAACCGAGAACAATGTCGGGACCAGCGTCCAGATCCAGAATGGCGGTAGCAGAAGAAGAAGAAGAAGTATGTTCATATATACCGGAGGAATTACTGGATCGCATCTTCAAATCTCTCAACGGCCACCGCCGTACTTTCAAGTCACTCTCAGTCGCCTCATCACAAACCGTCTCCGATTAACCGTTAAAATCACCGATCAAACCATCCCCTATCTTCATCGCCTATTCCACCGCTTCCCTAACCTCAGATCCCTCAAACTCACTATCCAATCCAAAACCATAGAAGAAGTCGACGATATTCTAACCCTAATCTCCACTTTCCCTTTACACAACATCAAATCGCTCAATCTCTCCACCAGACCCATTCATATTCGTTCCAATGGCTTGATAGTTTTGTCCAAAACCATGAAAATTTTGAAATTTCTCACTTGTTACAAAATGGTTCAGGTAGAAAAGAAAGATTTATTCTTCATCGCTGATTGTTTTCCTTTACTAGAAGAACTCAATCTCACTTATCCCCGTACTTGTTGTGACAAAGATTTTATGGTAGATGATAATGATCCATTATTGGCACTTCCCAATCTCCGCAGGATCAACCTATCTGGTAATTACATTGCTGGTGACCAATTTGTTAACTTTCTCCGCCAAAACTGCAAGCTTCTTCAAGTCGTCGTACTGTCGTACTCAAGGACCGGATTATACGCAAATTTAGGAATTCCAAATATGATAGGAGTGATATAATATATTTTTAACTTGTATCTGTTTTGTATGCATATTGTTTTTTTTAATCAAGTTTGTTCTCAGCATATTGCTTTGATTTATATATCAGTGTTAGTAGGTTTTACCTATTCCTCTTTGTTTACCAAATAGTACCTATTACACTATTTTTTATGCTCCCAACCTTGTGCCTATTTCTCAACTTACAATATCAAGCATTCAGGACACATAAGCATTCTGACAGATACATCATTTTTGGCATTCTATTAATTTCCAATCGTAATAGTTTCTACTTATCATATTTTCCTAATGGCAGCTGGAACAAATATATAATAGGATCCCAAAGACAAAAACGGTTTGGCGTACATGATTGTCCGTTGATGATGTTTGATATATAATCTTTTGCTTGCTTCTTGATATTGAGATAAAACCTATCATTGTCATGATTCTAGTTATGTGCCAGTTTGGGCATCACTATGCTGTTAAATGCAACACTTTGTCCTGTCAATGTTTGAAGTGGCTTCATATGGTTACTGGCTGGTTCTACCACAGTGCTTTTGCAAATTGTTGATTTATACAGTTTAGCTAAATATCTCTTTTGCTTCTCTTCTTGGCTTCACTATATAGGTTAACCCCAATGACTGTTAGATAATATCTCAAAATTCCAGTAATTGATACAGGATTTTTAAATATCAAAATGTACATAACTGCCACAACTCCTTTTACATTTCCTAGGACCTGGAAAAGTCATCACTCATTCATGTCAAATATGTGCACTATCATGTTCAGGAACTTGCAGCAGTATATTTAAGGTTCATCTTGTAGGTGCATTCATCTATAAATTATGAATTGGTTGTGTCTGAATTTGTTTTAGGTGTTTGCATTGTAAATTTTGGAAGGACACGGGAGAAGCTTCAATTTGCGGAAAGGGTTATGGTTGCAATCGAAAACACTTGGGACATGATTGTTCAATATGCTAGACCTTATGAACAGATATATGTGCTCAAATTTGCCCAATATACTGGTGCTCGTACTTTTGTTGGTAGACACACTTCTGGTACATTCACAAATCAACTTCAAACATCATTTTGTGACCCTCGTCTTCTAATACTCACTGATCCAAGAATTGATCACCAGGTTTCACCATTGCCCATTCTCTTATTTTTTGCATGTATATATTTCCCTTGAATGATTGTTATTTTTGCTGAGATGTAGTTTTGAACGTGGAATTATATTCATTTTTGTTTGACTGCAGCCAATTAAGAAACTTGCTCTTGGTATATATTGGTCTGTTTTGAAGCTCACTTCAATCTTGCCACCAAGTCTACCATTAATAAAGGAGTTGAAAAAGAGGAATGCATTGCATACCTATTGACGACAACTTAACTACTCTCACAAAAATTTATCCCACTGTAAGTTCAAAGTTCATTTTCCACAATCTTTGCTTCAATTAAGAATAAAAAGTTACAACAATGCATTTTTGTGACATACTCATTTATTTTTGGACTATCCCCTATTCCTAAAACTGTTTTGTTGCATATAATTTAAACATTGAAAAAATACAAGTATGCTGCTCTTTCTAAGAGTGGAGTGGTGCAACTTCAAAAAAAAGCTATGTTGAGACTACAATTGACTATCAACTATAGATATTATCTATTGGCATCACATATGGAGGCTAAAACTCCTCCATTACAAGGATCAATTAAAAAAAGCTATCTTTTTGGCCTTAAAAAACCCCGCAATTGACTCACTGCCAAAAACTTGATCGCGACTTTGTATGTCTATAAATCTGGAGACTGCAAGTGCACAGTCCTATCGCGTAGTCTTAAAAGATATCGAATCCACAGGGACTATGAATCGATCTACCGTAATTTTGGTTATTGGGTAAAGCTAAGGCTAATATTAATTTAATTAACGAAAGGGATCTAATTACTAAATTTAGTTATAAAATTTTTAATTATAAATACCGGTATGTATTTCACCTAAATTTTGGGTTCCGAATTTCCACTGGCTTTTACTTAAATTGGTCAAAAATTATCTTTACTCAAACTTTATTTGTCTAAAAACCTTCCCCTCACACTTCCGTTCTATTAGTTCAGGTTATACGATTAATACCCTAACGTGTGCTTCCGTCACTCCGCCGGATTCAAAAGTAATTTTTGAAAACAGAATAAAATTTAATTGTTTTTAAAATGCTTCCGCCTCTTTAAAAACAATGCCTAATAATCACTATCTGGTTTTAGCCTCAAACTTCCGTTTTATTAGTAAAAACCTTAATCAATTCTAAAACCTCACACTTCCGTTCTATTGGTTTGTAAAATCTTAAACAATTTAATTGAATATTAAAACCATGAAAGAAGTTTCTTTTACAAAATAATTTTAAGCCAGTTTATTTCGGATCCCGTTATTTGGTTAATTTACATACCGATATTTAATCGGTTTAGCCAGACATGTTCATACAATTAATCATGCAAGGTTTATTAATTAGGAAACGGCGAAATAAAAACATACTCAGAACAGAGATCATACAAATATATTAAATAAAGCGTATAAATGAAAACCTGATGAAAATGTAGAAATACTTCAATAGCTTCAAGTAAATATTCGTTCTTCAAATCCTTCGAGTATTCCACCACAAGTCGGCTGGATCTACCCTTCGAATCTTGAATTTCGTAACAACAAGAAAAGTAAAAATACCGGATCTAACGTAAGGTTAAACCGGATAAAATTGCACAACAATTCCTGGTGTAGAAATTGTTGTACGAAAAATAAAGGCAGAAAACTGGAGAAGAAAGAAAATAAAAACAATGCGATGAAATAAAAATAAAGGAAAAGGGCAGAACAAAAATTAAAATGGAAGGAAATTTGCTCTGCTGAAAATAGTACGATCTTGCAAAAATTCTCCGACCTTTGGGATTTGGCTTTCACTTCTATTTATAATGCTTGTAAAATAACTGTATCCCAAAAGGTCAATCCACGTAAAACTGAATATCCAAAAAATATTGCTAATGGCGTGAAAATAGGAAAGGGGAGGGAACGGTCGTTCCACTCAGCTGAAGTGGGCCGGACCGGTCGTTCCCCTTAGTGGGCCGGTCGGTCCCTCAAGCTGAAGTGGGGAACGTGTGTTCCCTTGGGCCTCTGCGCGTTCTTGGTCTTTTGGGCCTTGGAAAAAATCATTCTTTTCACCCCCATTTAGTATTCTGCACCACATTAATCAATTATCTTCATTTTTGTACTAAATTGCATCTATTTCTTCATTTTTCTTCACATAAGCTTATTTAAGGCAAAATACCTGAAACAAAGAAATACCAGCGTAATATGGAAATAAAATAAAATAAATTAAATAAAAACATGAATTATTTGCATTAATTAAGTCGATTTATACGATATAAAATCGTGTTATCAAACTTCCCTACACTTGAACCTTTGCTTGTCCTCAAGCAAGAAATATATCTCTCTCTAAATGCGGGTCAGACGCAACAAAAATTGCCACAAGTCAAAAATGTATTAAGTTGCACATTGCTCTTGAGCTCTCGACTTCGATACTAAAGTCACCGTAACAATACTAAATAAACTCAGGTTCGAAGAACAATTCTAGTGACGCCATTATAACTTAACTCTAAATCCTACATTTTGTTTCACCTTTTTCATTCAGGCGCAATCACATTAAGCCCTTTGCCCTTTCGCGCACATAGTGGAGTGATCGGTTAGTGAATTTGATCTTTTAAGCCTGCTAGGAGTTCTGGTACTTAATAGTTGGTAACTCCTTTTTGTTCTTTTGTAAATTGCGGGGAATCGAATCGTAGTTCGCCCTACCAAGTTCAACACCAGAAACCGCTGAACCAATTTACAAAGAATTCATTAATTGATAATTTATAAGGTTCGCGACCGTTGGGCTAAATAGTCTGGTAAGGACTATCTAACTTAGTTAGAGCGTTTCTACAAATTTAAATTTTTTTTATTTTTTTATTTTCGATCAATCACTTATATTCATCGATCCTCCACGTAGTTTGCTATTTAGACGGTGCTGACTGCGTGTATAAACTACTAAAGGTTATTTTAAAACCTAGAATTTAGATTTTCGGTATATAAAGGGTACTAAAATTTTAATTCATTTTCCTGAGATTTTAAAGCGTTGAAGTGGCGACGATATTATTTCAATCGTGTTCAATCTATAAATATTTTCTTCTAAAGAAGCAACTTTGATACACTTTTTGAGTGTGTATAATTGTGCGTCTGACCATAAAAAAAATTTTATGGCTTAAGAATTTGGCGAATTCGGATAACCATGAATTTATATATGTATATAAGACTTAATTTAATAACAAATTTTTATTAATTAAAATTTTAAAGTACAAAAGGGAAATTACAAAAGGGAAATTTGCTTACTTGAAGAAAGATAACAATAGTTAATTCGACCCCCTACACTTAAACTGAGCATTGTCCTCAATGCTTAAAAATGGGGAATCGAAAAATACAAAAATAAAAAGAAAAGAAATATTAAGAACTAATCGTTACGATGTGGACGACGTCCTCTTCCTCGAGTTCTTGGACGTTGCTCATCTTGGCGTTGTGGAGGCACGAATTCGTCCAAGCGTAGGTGAAGTGAGTGCATAGAAACTCCAAGGTCAATAACATTTGCATTCAAGGTGTTGTAGTTGTTATGCATTTGTTGTACCAATGCAAATGTTGCGTTTTGTTGGTTTTGCATCTGTTGCATGGTTTGGTAGAGAGTTTCCATGGTGAGATGATTTTGTTGATTGTTGTTCATTTCTTCTTCCATTTCATCCACGGGAGCATTATTCTCAGCTTCGGGTGCATTTAAATCGAATAACCAACGGCTTCGATTTTGCACATTAATAAGATGGGGACATGGAAGAATAATGCTTGGTACCAAAACTTTATTGACCAATAAAGTAAATATGTTCTCACCTTGCCTTGGGAGGATTAGATGGGAGTCTCTGCAGTATACCTCATCTAGAAATTGGGCTGGCATGAGGTGTTGAGCAATAGTTAGGATCTCGTCAGCCAATCCTAGCGAGTAAGCTATCGCGGTAATAATGCCACCGAAAAGAAAAGGGTTGTTTCCGGCGGTTTGAGCACATAGTTGAAAGTGTGATAGCATAAATGGTGCGGCGTTGACACGATTCCCAGTTAAGGCACAATATAAGAAAAATAACTCATTTTGGGTTACCTTATGGTTGTAGGTGCGTCCAAAGATAGTGTGAGCCAAAATACGGTGAAAATACCGTATTGCTGGATTATGAACGTGGGACGCATATAATAGTCTCCAACCATTTGCGGCTTCCCCACTTATCTCCTCCCAGAATTGTAAACCTTGCTCCTCCCAGGCTGGAATATCATCTTCCGCTTCAAATGGCAAGGATCTGAACCCATGAACCAAGAAGAAACAATTAAGGAATTGAAGGAAGAAGTGAAGATTCTGAAAGAAAACCTCACAGCTGCGAACAATGAAGTTAATACACTCCGGATGGATCATTTTGGATTCGTCGACACGGTAGCTATGCAGTTTGATGAAGTGTTTCAACATATCTATTCCATGCCGAAGAATAACGGAGACGATAATAATAAAAGTGGCTAATGAGAGAATTTATTTAATTAGTTAGTTTTAGTTAGTTATTTATTTGATTTGCATTTGGATTTCATTTGAATTATGTTTTGCAATTTGGTTTATTTTATGTTCTTTGTAGTACAATTTGAATTATGCAATTTAAAGTTCAACATTATTTATCTTCTTGTTTTGTTTCAATGTTATTTATATTAGTTATTAGATTATTAAGTGGTATCAAATAAAGCTGAAATGATACTGTTTGCAAACACTATGCATTCTGTGCCTGAGATATATATTATAACGTACTGTATCAAAAGAAAACAAAAGGAAAAGTTGAATTTCCCACGCAGGCACAGGACCGGACGGTCCCACGCACACCATGCCCCCTGGACCGACCGGTCCCCTTTTTGACTGAATAGCAGGACCGACCGTCCCCCTGTCCTAGTACAAGAGGGAACGACCAGCCCCCTGTTGCATGCTGTAAAGCGTGTCTCTTTGTCTCCCACGCCAAATTCAATTCATAACTCATTTTTACCATTTATCTTCTCCATAAAACAACTTCCAACCACTCTTAAATTCCCATTACTCCACTATCTCATTTTTTTCAAATTTTTACCCTTTCCAACTCCTCCATTAACTCTCATTAAATTCTCATTATCACCATTCAACCACCCTCACAATATAAATACCCCTCATTTCTTACTATCTCTTCACACCATTTCTTACTTTCTACTACGTTTCTCTCATATTTATCTTCATCTTCTCTAACTTCCTTCTACATCTACCACCATTTTCTTACCATT